TCTGCTGTGAAGATGACTGGCATGAACAGGAGGCGAATGATGAACCAATCCTCCAATGACGGAGATGAAGAGGAAGGTATGGAAACCAATAGGGAAGAAGAGGAATCTGATCACTGCTATGCTGGACCTGAAGATGTAGCCTGTGATGTCTGCAGTGGGAGAAAGCAGAAAGACCTCAAATCCTGTCTCACCTGTCTGGTCTCTTACTGTGAGCAGCACCTTCAGCCTCACCATGAATCTCCTGCTTTTGAAAAACACGAGCTGGTGGACTCCTCCAAGAATCTCCAGGAGGACATCGCCCTCCGTCAGCAGTGTGTCTACACAGCAGAAATTGCAGAGAGGCAGAGAAAGCTGGCAGCGATTCGACAAAAAATCCAGCAGAGGATCCAGGAAAGAGATAAAAATGTGAAGCTGTATTATCTGGAGATGGAGGCTATCAGTGACTCTGCTGCTGAAACGGTGGAGGACAGTGAGAAGATCTTCACTGAGCTGACTCGTGTCATTGAGAAAAAAAGGGATTACGTCAACCACAAGATCAGATCGCTGCGTCAAATTGAAAAAAATCGAGTCAAAGACCTTCAAAAGAAGATTGAGCAGGAGATTGCTAATCTGAAGTGGAAAGACTCTGAGCTGCAGAAGCTCGCACACACAGAGGATGAGAACAAGTTTCTGCAAAAATTGCCCTCGCTCTCACATCCCGGTACACCTACAGACACATCGAGCATCCTTTCGCTTCAGGACTTTAAGGACGTCAAAGAGTCTTTGACTAAAGTCGAAAGAAACGTAGGGGAAGTTCTGTGGGAGAATAGCACCAACTTCAAAATGGCAGGGACCAAAGTGGAGGTTTTACTGTCCCCGCAAGAGCCTAGCATCAGAGCTGCACTCCAAAGATATTCATGTGATATCACCATGGATCCAAACACAGCAGAACATTGTTTGAAATTATCCAAGAGGAACAGGAAAGCAACACACACATGGGGAAAATCACAGAGTTATTTTCATCACCCAGGCAGATTCATAGGTTGGCCACAGGTGCTGAGTAAAGAGAGCCTGACTGGGCGGTGTTACTGGGAGGTGGAGTACAGCAAAGAGAAAAAAGTGTGTGTAGCAGTCTCATACAAGGAATTCATCAATGTTGACTGTGTGACTGAATGTAAATTTGGACATAACAACCATTCTTGGGCATTGCAATGTGAAGGTGACCGTTATAAACTTCACTACGTGGTTCCAACTATCTTCTCAGGGCCTAAGTCCAAAAGAATAGGAGTGTACCTGGATTACAGTGCAGGTATCCTGTCTTTCTACAGCATCTCTGAAACCTCCACTCTCCTTGTCACAGTCAAGACTTCCTTCACTCGGCCGCTCTACGCTGGACTTACCATTTGCTGTCGTCACGGACAAAATCCAGTTACAGCAGAGTTCTGTAAACTCACGGGATAAAGGGACAATGGGTTCAAACTGCACAGAACAGCACTGTACAGCAATCTACTGTCATTCAAACGATGTGGATGTGGACTTTTAATTTATTTTTATGTTTGAGTTCTTGCCAGGAGGTGCTCTTACCTGCTTCTGTTAAGCCATGGATGATATCGGGGCTAATGAGGTTTATACATTGTTCTTTCTGTTCCACTACATTGGTCCCAAGAGAGAAAGCTCCAATTTTTTTGTTCTGAAGAAATCTTAAACCTTTACCAAGCGTAACTGATGGGCTGTGTTGACAAATTGATGTTTGATGAGATGAATAAACAAACAAACAGGAAAAAGGTATTTTCTTTCTTGTCTTATATCCAGGGTAACATACACGTTTGATGGAGATGATACGAGAGGGATTCCAGATCCTACAAGAGAGTTAAAACCCCCAAAATAAAACAAGCAATAAACGCTTAACATATCTTTTATACCTTTAGCCGCTTTCACACCAAGTACTTTGCCGTACTTAGTTCCCAGTACTTAGTCCCGCCGAACTCTTTAGTCCCGGAACTGTCCTCGTAAATTGCGTTCACACCGGAATAAGTCCCTGAGGGAGGATTACGTAAATTAAGCCGCTGACGTCACTTATTCTTCTTCTGCTTTGGGTTTACTGGCAGGCCGCAAACAACTTCACGGCGTATACTGCCACCCGAAGTCCCCGGCCGGAAGTCCCCGGAGTTGGGAACTGGCTTCAGTAGAAGCTGCTGGGACTCCCAGCAGCTTCTTCTGAAGCCTTCCGAGTAAATCGCCAGAACGCCGACACCTCCTCATCTCCACCGCTCCCATGTTTTTTTTTGTGTTGCCATAAGTTAGTCTCTCTGCGTTGGTGCGCGGGGCTAATGCTAATAATGCTAATGCCAGCAAATACAATGGCGGTTTCACAAAACTTTTCAGAGTTTTACGGGGCGTGGTTTGCAATTCGCCAGAAATTGGCACCTTTTTCTCCCCAGGATAGAACCAGCTCTCTAGCAGGGACTGAAAAGGGGGGGAAAGGTTCTCATGAACTAGGTTCTAGTTCCAGATCTTTTTGGTGTGAACGCAAAATCCCAATAACTATCGGAACTATTCCTGGGAAAAGTNCATGGAAGTACCTGAAAAGGGGGGAAACTAGGTTCTAGTTCCAGATATCTTTGGTGTGAACGCAAAATCCCAAGAACTATCGGATCTATTCCTGGGAAAAGTACACCGGTGTGAAAGCGCCGATAGTCTTTGGCGGGGTGCAGTTATATCACCTAACATCTTTTATATTCCTTTTAAAATTTAGATTTTGCATCGTTTAACCTGCTAACAGAACATACTTTAATAAAACCATAAGAGGTGATGTACGGTAATGATTTGCTTTCCAAGAAAACATTTAATTTGAAGGTGAAATCCGGTCAGTTTGTTGTTTATAGTAACCTGGAGAGTCAGAAGCAGGATTCCTTTATTAGTCTGACAGAGGGTAAATGTACAGTTACAGCAAAGAAGATACACTACTGATAGAGACCAAATAAAAACAGTATTGAATCATTTGAATAGTATTTATTAAAGTGAGCACATATATTAAACATTTAAAATGAAATTTTAAACACATTTCAAGTATAAAAAGTATTCAAACAATAAGTGAAACAGTTATAAAGTAATGAGCTGCAGGATGAAAGTAATACATACTATAGATTGGTGGATCTGTAATTTATTGTGTCAACGTGCACTAATTATTTAGACTTTTGGGGAAATGAATCCTCTTAGGTATTTCTTTTTTTATTATTCAATTGTGAACTAAAATAGGATTCTGTCCCTCATACACTTGATTGAATAAATATGTTTGTGTTGAAAAAGGTCTACTCAGTGATGAGGTTAGGGACCTACAGTATGTAATGTCCCCATTTGGTGTCAAGAAAAAGGCCTAATTACTCTCTTCTTTAATATTTACATCAACACTGTAAATGTTTACGACCACAACATAATGAGTTAACTATACCCCTGGCTTTTATTTACCTTTCTTTGAGATTATAAGAAAAGTAAAACAACAACCATAGAGGTTAGTTGAAGAAAAAAACCATGACACACATAAACAATACAAGTAAAATACATTTCAACCTTTTAAAAGTATATAGGACACAACATGTTCCAAAAACACAAGAATATTCTAAAACACACTAATAATTTATAACACACTATAACTTAGTATAGTAAGGTAATTGTTACCACATAAAAGGAAATGTTTAATTAATTATTTGAACTGTAATTCAAAGTATTGTCATATCTGCTTTTAAAAACGGCCTCCCCTGTTGGCCTACGAGGAGTTATACTTCACAGAGAACCGCAGTGACGCGTCCTAAAACCCGGAAGTAAGTTAGCATTTTTACCACGTCCGGTTCCTTCGAAAAAAAGCAATGCAATTTCTCCATAGGATTTTGGAAAATAGCTCCAAATAAGGTCTGTGTTTGACACAAATTGAAGAGACAGATCACGTTTAGTTCTACGACATTAAATACATCAGCAGTGACCCCGCTGGTGATTTATGAAGAGTTTACGTGTCTGAAAAACGATGGTTGTTAACATGTGGCTGAATAGGACTACAGAAGTTGTCCAGGCCGTTTTACGTCATTACACCGAACAGGTAAACACTCCCGCTCAGTTTGTTTGCCCTGTTCTGCTTGAAAGCAAGTAGCTGCCTCCTGCAAACTGTTAAAACAAACGCTTCAACTGGTATACCATTTTGAATCTGTATGTTTGAATATGGCTATAATATTTAGCGTGACGTTGAAGCAGCGACCCTGCTGTAGTTCGTTTATAGCATAACGTTAGCATTTTGCTTCTGGCGACTAGATTTATGATTCGAAAATTATAAAAGTAGGGTAGACATGTGGAGATTATCCGGCTGAACAAAACATGATCCATCTCTTTAATGTGTGTCAACAGACCTTATTTCCTGCTAATTTCCCAAATCCTATGGACTAATTGCATTGCGTTTTTTGACGAAGGCTCCGGAAGGAGTTTACTTCCGGGTTTTAGGACGCGTCACTGCGGTTCTCTATATCTTTTTACAAATACAGTTTATTTCTCCAGTTAGATTTCTCATTAGCACAGTACATTAAAGAGAGATGATGGACAGACAGACATTAGTTTGGTTGCTTTGCAGGGGTCCACATTCTTGAACTATTCAATTCAAATTCAAATTAGCTTTGCTGGCATGGGAAACATTTGTTTACAGAGCAACTGAATGTGAAAAGATGGTCAACGATTATTCATTGATTTCACAAATGTTCGATTCTACCTTTACGACAGTAAAACTCATTCAGGTTTAGGCCATGCCCATGTTGTTTGTGGAGTAAGGGGATATATATATGAGGCCCACCACACATAGATTTGAAGTTGATCTGTCTGTCTTTCAGCAGATAAGATGGACTTCTATGAATGGTACGATAACCACTGCTGCCCTCTGTGCCACGAGCTAATGACTGAGAGAGATGGAGATTTCCTCTGCCTCTGCTGTGAAGATGACTGTCATGAACAGGAGGCAATGATGAACCAATCCTCCAATGACGGAGATGAAGAGGAAGGTATGGAAACCAATAGGGAAGAAGAGGAATCTGATCACCGCTATGCTGGACCTGAAGATGTAGCCTGTGATGTCTGCAGTGGGAGAAAGCAGAAAGACCTCAAATCCTGTCTCACCTGTCTGGTCTCTTACTGTGAGCAGCACCTTCAGCCTCACCATGAATCTCCTGCTTTTGAAAAACACGAGCTGGTGGACTCCTCCAAGGATCTCCAGGAGGACATCGCCCTTCGTCAGCAGTGTGTCTACACAGCAGAAAATGCAGAGAGGGAGAGAAAGCTGGCAGCGATTCGACCAAAAAATCAAGCAGAGGATCCAGGAAAGAGATACAAATGTGATGAAGCTGTATTATCTGGAGATGGAGGCTATCAGTGACTCTGCTGCTGAAACGGTGGAGGACAGTGAGAAGATCTTCACTGAGCTGACCCGTGTCATTGAGAAAAAAGGGATTACGTCAACCACAAGATCAGATCGCTGCGTCAAATTGAAAAGAATCGAGTCAAAGAGCTTCAAAAGAAGATTGAGCAGGAGATTGCTAATCTGAAGTGGAAAGACTCTGACCTGAAAAAAGAGAAAAGATAAAAAAGTGTGTGTAGCAGTTTCATACAAGGAATTCATCAAGGTTGACTGCGTGCCTGAATGTACATTTGGACACACGCTGGACTTGTCGTCACGGACAAAATAAAGGAAGAGCAGAGTTCTGTGAACTCACGGGTTAAAGGGACAGTGGGTTCAAACTGCACATAGCAACACTGCACAGCAATCTACTGTCATTCAAACTATATGGAAGTGGACTTCTTATTTTTTTGTTTGAGTTTTTGTCAAGATATTTAAATACGTGTTATATGATTAATAAACAAACACGAAAAAAGTATTTTCTTTCTTGTCTTATATCCAGGGTAACATACAGGTTTAGTGGAGATTTTGTGAAACTGATACGAGAGTTTAATTGAGGCAGGCCTTACACCCTAAACACCACACAGTTCTCTGTTCATGTTAAGAGCAGAACAGCCTTGGTCACATTCAGTAACAACTATTACCAGACTTTCACTGTGGCGGTGTAGATTCATTATTCCATAACCAAGTTGTATTCCTCATTTTGCTGTGATATCTATTAAAGTTAAGATTGGATAAACTTAAACCATACAGGCTACCAATAAGACTCATCTGTTACTATTTAGGTTTTTGTAAAAAGTGTATCCATACTTTTAGAAAAAACTAATTACGGTTTTGGCATCTTCTTAAATAATGTGTGTAAATACAAGATCAAACTGCCAAAAATATTTTCATGTCATATTTATTCTTAGAGCTACTGTTTTGTTTCCTAAAAAATATTGATAGGACATGGCTTTATCCCACTTATTTGGTATCTATGAATTAAGTATTGAATATATGCACACATGTGCAGTGTAAACATTAGAAGGAAGCCTTTTTTAAATTAAAAACCTTGAACATTGATTCTTAAAAGAAGTGTTTTTTGTGTGATCTAAACATTTTGACAGTAATTATACGCAAAGTATACGTCTCAACCAGATTTTAAGACTTGAAACCATTTGGGGTAAATGTGGCATTTTTCTCATCATACTAGTATATTTTTCTCTTTTCATATTATCAAACTAGAGCATTACAAATGTAAAAATAAGAAGGAAATCAAAACCAATTGTGTATTTGATAAATATGTTTACTTGAAATGGTACCTTTTGTTTTTAATCACTATTATCACTTTATTTCTTTGTGTATATATATATAT